ATTCAAATTTAACTACTCCTTTTTTAAACCCAAAAAAGATCAGTGCGCTACTTGCGTCTTATATGAGCAAGCTACTCCCTCAAAAAAAGAAGAGTTTGAAGAGAATTTCATACGCCACATTCAAATAAAATAAAGAATTAGGCAAATTAAAAACGGGGAAAAGGATATTTTCGACCAAAATAGAGGACAGTAGTGATATTTGACCTACAAAAGGTCTTTAACATTGCACAATGTAATGTAGGGATTTTTGATCACAAACTGAAGTGTCCTGTTTACAATTTTACGGTATTTGACGCTTTACGTAAAAAAAGTTACTGCTATGTGTGGCATTATCGTGTGGCGAAAAGGCTGTACGGAAATTAGTAGTTGTTTGTTAATGTTCTTAAATTCTGAACGTGAAAAGGGAATAAGCACAGTATCATTCTACTCTGATGGGTGCTATGGGCAAAATAAAAATAAATCCATTTTTGCCTTATATGTCTTTGCCGCACAAAACTACAACTGTCCATAACGCAAAGATTTTTTGAAACAGGGCATAGCCAAAATCAAGGTTATTCAATGCACCCTTTCATCGAACGCAATATAAAAAATAAAGTTATATATACTCTAGAACAAATGTATAATATTGTATTAAATTCAAGAGTTACCGAAAAAAATACACTATCACAGAAATTGACCAATCGGATATTTTAAATATTAAAAAGTTAGTCCTGCACATGGGTGTCGGGATACTATTGAAAATATCATCCGTTGACCTGACGCCATGGATGTTCACGTAACGCCATCACAACCAGGAAAGCTTTTTTCCGATACGATATAGATGGAGGGTATTTGGAGTTAGACACCGTTCACTCAACCCAAACTAGACGACGGGGACGAAGATGTAAACCTGGCTCAACGACTGAAAATATAGCTCTAGTATCAGCAACCTATTCCAATAAGCAAATCACTCAACACAGGCTTAATATATTTATTCAATAGTGGAGCAAATTGCAAAATATTACCATAATTTTTACGTTGACGTATTCTGAGGAGAAAACTAATATAGTTACTGAAGAAACCTCAGATTATGACTGGTTTCTTTTATTTGATTTTAATTATACCTAAAGTTCATTCGATGCGTATTTGTTTTTCTTTAATAAATGTCTTATTTTTGTATAAATTCTCTATAGTTTTGATTATTTTATCCACTTGACTAGGTTTTATGATATATCAGTATAGGAAGAATACATTTCAAATTCAAAAAAGTGCTTTCTGGTACTAAGTTCATACTATTTAGAGACGGTTTAGATTGCACGAATAAGACAGTTATAGAACTTTACATTTACGCTCTTCAATAAAAAACTTGCTTAGATGAGCAAGTAAATGGCTATTATTGTACTATTCTGTTTTAGAAATTACCGCAATAATCTCGTAAGTTGATATTACTAATTTCATTTTTATAAATCAGTAAGGTAAGATAAAATTACAGTTAAAATATTACAAAATAATTTTACGTAATATATACTTTTATGTAATACATAAATGTTTGTATATATAATGAAATCTTTACGGAATGTGGATATTCTATAAAAAAAAATACCTTTCATTTGGTATATTTAACATGAAACAATAATGATTAATTGAAAAGATATAGCTAAAAAACACTAAAGTTGTTCTCCTGAAAAATTTGACTTTTGCAATTGCTGGCTTATTGCTCGGGGGCGTCGATATATATATATATAAACAAATGAATGAATAATAACAAGACAAAACAATGACGCAATATCAATCAACAAAGTCAAAGATTACCAAATACCAACCTAACTTTTTTTTACTACAGAGAAGCGACGAAAACTAAGCATACCGTCATGTCGCGAGTTTTTAAGTGATTAAACATTTAACTGGCAATGCCGTAATATTGTGAGTACATTCAGCTAATTCTAAATATTTTTTTTTTTACCAAAACAGAAAAAATTGAAAGTCGATTTTCAAGGGTGAAATATCGATTCACTGAATCGATTCAGTACGACATATCGATTTAAAAATACGATTTATTTGGTCCGAGAAATCGATTCTTCGATTAATCGATTGGAGATCGCCATCCCTACGACAGATTTGCGACAAAGGGTAACAGTGTCAATTGTCAAACGTCAGTTATCAATTCCAAGTGACGTTGACTTGTTGTTGATTGTATTTTTAGGAATCAGAAGCGGATTTAATAAAATAAAAACAAAGTAACACAACAACTAAATAAATTAAAATTCAACAAAATCCTATCGACCGGCAGCACGTCCGTTCCGTACAACGAGCGGCGAAAAAGTGTGCGAGCCGTTGCTTGAGGCTTGTTTATATAGCCTTCAGTGTGGCGGGTAGTTGAGCTTTTCTGATTTCTAACACGGCCTCTCCTGACCGTGTCCGTCCTCGGGCACCTCCTCTGTCGCGACCCCCTCGCGTGAGTCTGTGCAGCTGGGGACGGCTACCTGCAGCCGCGTGCACACGTGACCACGCGTTGTGCTAAGCTGTCTTTTTATGGAAAAAAATACGGTTGGCCGAAGTATGGAGAGCCACATCCAGTAGCTACCGTCGTTGTCCTCGAACCGATCGCCTCGAGCCGGGTCGCCTGCGGGCCGGCTAGGAGTCCGGAACGAGTTCGACGGCTGAGCGCGTGACCGCGCAACCTCGCCGCTCCCTGCTGCGACTCTGCCATGTGACAGCAACGCCCAGAGAAGACACCCAGGCGGCGGCTACCGCTTCCGCGCTCTAAATGCCAGAAGTTGCGATTTTGGCCGTCATCTTCCTCGACCGCCGAAGGAAGCCGCATGCGCGCCGTGTAGCCCGCGCGTGGGCTGCGCGCTGCCACTGGTGGCGTGGCGCCGGTTGAACTCCCCCTCGTTCCAGGGTCGTTCCGGCTGCCTGCTGCCGCCGTGCCGCTCTACCGACGCAGCCATTGAACACGAACAAGAAGCACAGGACACGGTGTGCGCGAGACGAAGCCGCCCATGTCCCCGAGCGCCTGCTGCCGCTCTCCTGACGCATCCATTGAACACGAACAAGAAGCACAGGACACGGTGTGCGCGAGACGAAGCCGCCCGTGTCCCCGAGCGCCTGCTGCCGCTACCAGGATCGCCGGGTGTTGAAGAGTAGCCATTCAGCATCCTCCTCACACGAAGCGTGCAGCACCCAGTACGTCGGTGCGCGAGACGAAGCCACCGACGTCACCACCGGCCTGACGCTGCTCAGCAGCACATCTACTGACAGGCTCGTAGGGACGAGTCGCGTAACCCGCAACCTCCCGCAGACTCATCAGCGCGAAGGAGAATACCTAAACATCCATAAAAAACTCCAGGATGTGCACACAGCTAAACATCCATAAAAAACTCCAGGATGTGCACACAGCTAAACATCCATAAAAAACTCCAGGATGTGCACACAGCTAAACATCCATAAAGAACTCCAGGATGTGCACACAGCTAAACATCCATAGAAAACTCCAGGATGTGCACACAGCTAAACATCCATAAAAAGCTCCAGGATGTGCACACAGCTAAACATCCATAAAAAACTCCAGGATGTGCACACAGCTAAACATCCATAAAAAACTCCGGGATGTGCACACAGCTAAACATCCATAGAAAACTCCAGGATGTGCACACAGCTAAACATCCATGGGGACAGGTCGCATCTCCAGGGTTCCCCCAGAACTTCATATACAGCCACGCTGCACGACCACTACACCAGCGAAGTCAATCGCCGATGCTCACATTCACAACTGCAACATTAAGTAAAAACATTACGGACATTTAAAGAAAGACGTGTGCAGTATCTAGGCACGATATATTGGGCAGCAGCCTGTGTTGTTGAACTTCATTTTGCATCAACCGTTCGGCCGTCCTTTGTCTTCCAGCGTCATTGTAACAATATACCCCTAGACCTATATAGATCGATCGTCTTTCCTATGATAAAGACGGGACGTGCTGCGTGATCGCCTACTTCGCGAATGTCTACTTCGTGAGCGTTCTACTCGTATACGTTTCCCTTTCGATCGGGACAGACTTGATCTACCCATAACGGTCAAAACTATCTCCATATAAAAAGCAAAAAATTATCCGAGGGCGTGAAAATCTTTATCCCACTGCTGATTTTAGGAATCAGAAGCGGATTTAATAAAATAAAAACAAAATAACACAACAACTAAATAAATTAAAATTCAACAAAATCCTATCGACCGGCAGCACGTCCGTTCCGTACAACGAGCGGCGAAAAAGTGTGCGAGCCGTTGCTTGAGGCTTGTTTATATAGCCTTCAGTGTGGCGGGTAGTTGAGCTTTTCTGATTTCTAACAGTATAATAATTATATGAGGGTATTTCGATAACTTTTTTTTTGTTTTTTTTTTTGAAGTCTTAGAAATTTCAACTCAAATATCCTAATAAAATCAGGGAGCGCGTGAGTAAACTCCAATATATGTGATGGACAGTACCTTTATGATGTTATAGATGCACGTATAATTATGATTTTATAGGTAATTACTATACACAACTGTAACAACTTAGCACACGACGTATGTAGGTAAGCGAACTTTTGGTACGACATACATACATACATACATGCGTGTATGCACATGGATAACTTAATAATCCTCCTCGCCGATGTTTTTCAGCATTCAATATTCAAACCGGGAACCGTATCGACGGACTGCGAACCCGCTACCTCCCTCCCTGCATGCACGCAGGCAGGCAGGCAGGCAGGCATGCATCGGCGCCTACGAGCTAGCTATAATGGTAATAAACTCCTACAATCTCCTCCGAAACTTAAACAGACTTAAGGCCTTTTGGCACACTAAGCAGAGACTAGACTATATAATAATAATAACCCCCCCAAGGGATCACCTTGTCGTGGTGGGGGGGCTTACGGGTATAGGGACTATAGAATATGTAATGCATGGATATGCGTTTTAAAATTAAATTAAATTAACACCTTATCACCTGCCCTAACTAACGATCCCAGTAATCCAAATAAAAATGAAAAGTATACCAAAGAAAGTGTATAATCTACGGCCGCTGCCCGGGGGTCGCCGGGGCGCACCTGGAGCCAACGCTGGGTGTTCCAGCATGCGATCCGTTGGCGATGGGGGACTGAACAGGCGGGTTCCCCTCGAAAAAAATACGACAGCCGACGAAGTATCATCTCAATCATCGCCATCATCATCATCATTATTTTCATCAATTCCATCCACTAATCCGTTCACCAATTCACCTACTCATTCAGCATCATCCAATAACCAAATGATGGAGGATGTTGTGCAAGAGGCTGATTTAGCAGTCAACTTTGTACCCACCACATCAAAACAGCGTAGAAAATGGAGTAAAGAAATGAACGAATTTATTCTACGTACATATCTTCGACTTACCTTAATGGAATCCGACACTAATGGCTACTTACCACTCCTGCACACAAAATTCATAGAAAAATACCCTGAAATGCACGTAATTAGCAGACAAAGAATAGGAGATCAAAGACGAGCTATAATAAGTAAAAAATTACTAAACCAAAGTGAAATCGATACAATTTACAATGAGACGCGAATAGAATTAAACAACATTCAAGATAGTATAGACATGCAGAACACATCAAATAATGGCCACCAAAGTTTCAACGATTCCCAAATAGAACGACTTCACCATACTAATAATACTTGCCAGCGAATGCGGTGGACAAAAGACCATAATGAAGCAATAATGAGAGCTTATTACAAAGTAACATCTTTGGAATCTAACATTACCGCATATAGGGGTCTTCTTCATAAGGAATTCATTGCCCAATTCCCGTACCTTACCCATATAACCGAACAACGTGTTGCTGATCAGAGAAGACTGATTATAAATAATAAATATATATCTGAAGAAAAGTTACAAGAGATCCGAGAAGAGGTTCGTAGTGAAATAATACAACTAAATAATACAAACAAAGAAATAAGTAATGGCCGTTATTTACCGGCTGCTCTCTCTACCAGTAATGACCATATTTTAAATAATTATGAAGAAATAAATTTCGAAATAGACCATGATCATAGAAGTACACTACAAGAAATACGTTTAGAAAGTATAGAAGAAATAGACCATATCTTTGGTAATGCCCACAAATTCTTTAAAGATAGCGACCCGACACTCAGAAGCTACATACCAAAGCAAAAATACACAAAAAAACTATTTTCTATCATACATTATATTAACTCCAATATTTTACCTAAATATGTTAACGTAGATTCAGACTTTCTAACATTGCAAACAGCATTATACTGTGCAGCGTGGACAACAGCAAAAATGAACGGATCAAAATTAAAATTAGAACCTTGTGAGACAAATTATAAGAAAATAGCTACAAAACCGAAATGGCAGATAAGATTAGAAAGAAGAATAACAGAATTGAGAGTGCAAATTGGTCGTTTAACGCAATATTTACAAGGCAACCGGAGTAAAAAACTAGTAGCACATGTAGAAATTATTAAAAACAGTTATAAGATACATGCAACACACGAGAGCCCTAATACAGGGCTTTTAGAATTTTTGGATACGTTAAAGCAAAAACTCAACATCTACTGTAACCGATTGAAAAGATACAAAAACTGCACTCTACGTAAAATGCAAAACAAACAATTCACCTGCAATGAAAAACTTTTTTATAGGGAACTAAGAAATCCAAAAAACGTTGTGAATGAAAACAACTTAAATTATGAAAATAATAGAAATACTGACTCGGTAGCCTTACCAGATCTATATAATTACTGGTCAAATATTTGGGAAAATCCAGTACAACATCACTCTACTGCTGAATGGATATTTAAAGAACAAGAAAGATATTCGAACCTACAGCATATGGACGTCCAATTTGTACCAATAGATATATTTCAAAATGTTATAAATAAGTTACACAACTGGAAATCCCCAGGATCTGATAATATTCATAACTTTTGGTTCAAAAAATACAGTTTCTTACACCCATTCCTACACAATCATATTAATATGTTTTTGCAAATACCAACCACACTACCAGGATATATAACTATGGGAACAACATACATGCTCCCAAAGGACCCACATTGCTTAAATAACCCAGCTAAGTACAGACCTATTACTTGTCTCCAAACTATATACAAAATAATAACATCTTGCATAACTGAATTAGTTTATCAACATATACACAAAAATAATATATTAACAGAACAGCAGAAAGGGTGCCGAAAACATAGCCAAGGTTGTAAGGAACAGTTAGTAATAGATTCGGTAATACTTAAACAAGCACAAATCCAAAAAACCGACTTATATACCATGTACATAGATTATAAAAAAGCCTTTGACTCTGTACCTCATACATGGTTATTAAACATTTTAGAAATTTATAAAGTTCACCCGACAATTGTACAATTTTTAAAACACACGATGACTCAATGGACAACCAGACTCAAATTAACTAACAATACCAACATAGTATTGACAGACCCTATTAAAATACAAAGAGGTATATTCCAAGGGGATTCCTTAAGTCCTCTTTGGTTCTGCTTGGCGTTAAACCCATTATCTAACCTACTAAACACAACAAGTGGAGGATATACTCTATTTTATACAGGCAATTGTGAACGTACCCTACAAATTGACAAGAGAAATTTTAAATTAAATCACTTAATGTACATGGATGACATAAAATTGTACGGTGCAACAGAAGAAGAGTTAAAAACACTTGCCCAAACTACAGAAATGTTTTCTCAAGATATTAACATGGAATTTGGAACTGATAAATGTAAAGTTAATTCTTTTAAAGGAGGAGAACACATTCAACATCAATATTACTTACAATCTGGCGATATTATTGCAGCATTAAGGTCAAATGAGGTATACAAATATTTAGGCTACATACAAGCTAGACAAATAGAACATAAAGAAATAAAAGCTTCCCTAATAAAAGAATATAAATATAGGCTAAATAGCATATTACGAAGTCAACTCTATTCTAAAAATACTACTAAGGCAATAAATACATATGCAATACCAGTACTCACATATTCTTTTGGCATAATTAACTGGAGCAAATCCGAACTTATTTCATTGCAAAGATTAATTAATACAACCATGACAAGACATAGAAAACATCACCCTAGATCGTGCGTCCAAAGATTAACACTACCCCGCTCTGAAGGAGGAAGAGGTTTAATAGATTTAATAAATTTACATAATAAACAAATAACGTCTCTCCGGTATTACTTTAAAAATAAATCCAAGGTTTCTACTATGCATCAATCAATAGCCCAAAACGATAAAAAGCTCACCCCTCTCAATTTAAATGATGAGGAAAATCAAAAAAATGAAGCACAAACAGACAAACAGACAAAGTTTAGAGATTGGCTCCGAAAGTCTCTCCATGGAAGACATCTCCGTGATCTTAATCACACTGGCATAGACACGAAAGCGTCAAACGAATTCCTTAGACGTGGTGAGCTTTTCCCGGAAACCGAAGGCTTTATCCTTGCTATACAAGATCAAGTTCTAGAAACAAGAAATTATCAAAAGCATATCATGAAACTACCCAGTTTAATAGAGGACTCATGTAGAAAATGTAAAGGAGCCCCCGAAACCATACAACACATTACAGGATCATGCAGAGTTATAGCACAAACAGATTACAAACACCGCCATGATCAAGTTGCAGCCGTCATTCACCAAATAATAGCGTTTAATCACAAATTGATACCTGAAAAAGTACCTTATTACAAATATTCTCCGCAAACAGTTTTAGACACAAAAGATTATAAGCTTTATTGGGACCGAACCATACTCACAGATAAAACAATCCATTACAATAGGCCAGATATCACTTTTCATGATAAGAGGCGGCAACTTGTCTACCTTATAGATATAGCAGTACCCAATACACACAATATCTCTCCCACATACTCAGAAAAACTAAATAAATATATAGATCTATCCGTGGAAATAAAGTCCCAATGGAAAGTTAAATTAGTCAAAACTATCCCTATAATAATATCATCTACAGGAATAATACCCCAGACATTACACACAAGCTTAGCCCAATTAAATATTCACCCCCTCACTTATGTCACACTTCAGAAAGCAGCTATCTTAAACACATGCAGAATAGTTAGGAAATTTTTAAATACGGATTCGACCACAACTATAACGCTTGGCTGAGGTCCGCATTATAGTTGTTTTCAACCCCTTACCAAAGGGAGATTGTAATATATATACATAAAAATAATAATAATAATAAAGTTGAATGTACTTTATATCCACTCCATAAATCAATAAACCGAACCTAACCTAACTCGACTCCTATAATACTTTAGTATAGTATATTATATTATATTGTATATCAATTTTTGGCACTTTTAATACGAGAAACGTTCGCGGGTGTTCGCCTTACGAGAAACGTTCGCGACTATCGGACGAGCCATTCGGGAGCCGTTGGAAATGGAACCCGAGCAGGTCGAGGAGATCTTGAGGCGCAAAGAGCGTGAACTCCAGCTACTAGAGGAGATAACTCGAGAGGCGGGTTTTACACCGCGGGCTTCGCTTCGGCGGTCCCCGCCGCCATCTGCCGGTGTCGTGCCGCTTGTGATTACACCGGTCGCAGGCTCGAGCAAAAGGAAATGGGACTCCCCGGAAGAGCTCGAGGAGGAACTGCGACGCCGTGTGAGAGCGGCACCGGTGCGAGGGGCAAACACCCCGCCGCTGGGGGGCATCCTAGCCGGAGAACAGGAGTTGGAGCCGGTGTCAGCAATGCCGGCGGAGGAGGAACGTGCGGGCGGTGCGGAAGTGGCGATGAGCGAAGTCGACCATGAAGCGTCAACGGGGTTACTGGTGGAGCGCGCCAACAAGGCTGGAGAAGCGCTGATGGCGGCAGCGTCGTCATCAACGTCGAAACTAAATAAAGCTGATATAGCCGCAATCGGGACCCAGGTGCAGCGCCTCACGGCGATAGTGGCAACCCTGGGGGCAAAGTTGGGAGAGGAGCGCCTACGGGCACATAAGCTGGAGAGCGCGCTGGCCCAGGCATCGGCGGCGACGACGACAGGTCTCGCGCCCGCCAGTGGCCCCACTATACACAACAGAGGGTATGCGGATGTGTTAAGGGTCGGCGGGGGGGCGACCAAGCCGAAACCAGCGGAAGCAGGGAAGGTGCTGGCCTTCTACCCGAAGCCGGAGGCGGCTGAAAAATTAAAAACGGCGGACGACACTAAGGCGGCCCTAAAGTCGGGCCTAGACCCGCGGGCCCTGGGAGTGCGGGTGAGCCAGGTCCGCAAGGTGGCGAACGCTGGGGTGCTGGTGCACGCGGCCACAAAGAAAGAGGCGGAAATTATAAAAAAGGCGGCGCCAGCAAACCTGAGGGTACAGGAGCCAAGGGCGCGGAACCCGCTCGTTGCGGTCGTGGCGGTAGAAGGCCGGCGAGTGGAGGACGAATCCTTCATAAGGGCACTGAGGACGCAGAACTTCCCGGAGCAGGAGAGCTGGGCCCCTAGCGATGTAAGAATAGCTTTCAAGAAGAACGCCAGGGGGGGATCATGCACAACTGTAGTGCTTGAGTGCAGTCCCTCCTGGAGGGACAAGCTTGTAGGGGCTCAGCGGGTATACGTGGAGTGGGAGAGGTACCTCGTAAGAGACTTTGCGGACGCGACTTGCTGCGCGAAGTGCCAGGCGTACGGGCACGCCGCTCGCTTCTGCAGGGCCACTGCGGATGTGTGTGGCAAATGCGGCGAAGAGGGCCACAGAAGCAGCGCCTGTGTAGGCTCAGTGCGCCAGTGCGCAACGTGCAAGCGCGCAGGAAAGGAGGCGGCGAGCCACAATACTGCGTCGGCTCAGTGCCCAGCGAGGCAGGCAGCGGAGAGGCGGTCCTTCGAGAGAACAAATTATGGAGGGTAGAACCGCCACCGCACGAGGAGGACTTAACAGCCGCGTGGGACAGCTGAATCTGCAGGGGTCCGAAACAGCTACGAAAGAACTGCCAGCACTGGCTACGCAGCTCGGCCTTGAGATTGTAATGGTGCAAGAGCAGTATACGAGGGCCGGGCTGCCGGGACTCCTGCAGCAGGACGTCTCGGCTAAAGCAGGGATTCTGGTGCTGAGAAGGACAGCCATCCTGAGGATGAATCACCTGACCACCAGCCACTGCTCAGTGGCACAGGTGGAGCTGCGGACTGGCCTGGTATACCTGGTCTCGGCGTACTTCCAGTACAGCGATGACATACAACCGCACATAAGGCACCTGGAACGGGTACTGGAAGCGCTGAAGGGGGAACCGGTCATTATCGCGGTAGACACCAACACCCACTCAAGCTTGTGGCACAGTAGAGAGGAGCAGCTCAGGGGGCGCGGCAGGACAGCCGAAGAGAGGCGGGAGGCTCTTGAGGCCTTTATATTAGCAAAGGGCCTCACAGTCAATAACTTAGAGGGTGAGCCGGAAACCTTTTGCTCACCGAACGGCGCATCCAATATCGACGCAACTCTCAGCACCAGAAGCGTGAAGATCGGCGACTGGCGGGTACACGAAGACGTCAGCACAAGCGACCACAGGCTGATTACCTTTGCGGTGCTAGGGGGTGGCACGCGTCTTGGGGGGGGGGCGGAGTGTGGACGAGGAGCCTGCGAGGTTTCGAGACCGCGGTGTGGACTGGGCGGCATTCAGATCGGACCTCTCGCTGCGCGTGGGGAGGATATCCTTCCAAGCGTCGGCGGGAAAGGTGTGCGGGGCATTTTCCTCCGCTGTTGTGTGTTCGGCAAAGAAGTGTCTGGGGCTGAGAAAAAATAAAAGGGGTAGAGAGGGGTACGAGTGGTGGAATGGTCAACTGGACTCACTCCGCAGAATCCATAATAAATTGCGTCGGGATTGGCAGCAGTCCAGGCGCGCGGGCGGACTGCATGAAGAGGAAACAAAACGTCGTTTTCACCAGGCGCGTGCGGAATACCGAGGAGCAATGCGGGAGGCGGAGGCCACTCACTTTAGGCGTCTAGCCGAGGGTGGGAACGAGGATCCTTGGGGGCTTGCGTACCGTGTCGCCAGCGGCAGGGTGCGACCGCCCCCGGGTGTGATCGACGGCCTTCGCCTGGCGCAGGGCTTTGCGGGGGGTCTAGGGGATGCGATGTCGGGAATCTTAACAGTTATGTGTCCGGACGACGACCCGGCGGGCGACTCGCCGTGTCACGCGGAGCTGCGTCTGGAGGCCGCCAGTGTGCCACCAGGCAGGATTCAGAAGCCACCGAACCGATCGATCTTGGGCAGGATCATCAAGGAACTGCCCAACAAAGCGCCGGGGTTAGACGGGATAACGGCGCGCATTGTCAGAGTTGTATGGGGGGTGGCCGAGGCGGAGATGTCCCTCATGTATGCGAGATGCATCAGAGAGGGCGTCTTCCCCGAGGTCTGGAAGAGCGGAAGACTGGTCGTGATACCAAAGGGAAACGGGAAGCCACTTACCGATCCGAAGGCGTACAGACCGGTGACGTTATTACCGGTGTTGGGTAAAATCCTTGAAAAGCTCATCTGCGAGTGCACACCAGGATTGTACGGGCGAATCTCTGCACACCAACATGGCTTCATGCCCGGCAGGTCAACGGTGTCAGCGCTGAATACGGTTCTGGGTCTAGTAAGGGGATCAGCCTTTAAATACGTGCAAGCCATCATGTTAGACATCTCGGGGGCTTTCGACAACGCGTGGTGGCCAATGATGCTATGTAAATTTAAGGAAGGCGGTTGTCCGCCGAATATCTACAGGTTGCTGCGCTCGTACTTTACCAAGCGCAGGGTGGGAATGTTCGCTGGTAGCGTGGTGGTCTGGAAGGATGCCACGATGGGATGCCCACAGGGCTCTGTCCTCGGGCCGACGTTGTGGAATATCCTTGTGGACGACCTCTTGCGAATGGCGGTCCCGACCGGCGTTACTCTGGTGGCATACGCGGACGATGTCACTGTTCTGGTGGAGGCAAACTCCAGGGCTGAGATCGAGCGTAAAGCGGCGGCTACCCTCGAACTCGCCGTGCAGTGGGGCGAGCGTAATAGGCTGATGTTCTCGCTTGCGAAAACTCAATCTATAACACTGAAGGGCAAGCTGCAGCGACCGCCCGTTGTCAGGCTTGGGGGGGAATCTGTCCGGTCGGTGACGTCGGCGA